TTGGAGGTTGGGGCAGAAGGAGAATTCAAGCTAGACTTGAGGCAGGACCGTGACTCTGGAAAACAGAAGCTTAAGGGTGCAGTAAGAACTGAAACCCATTGGCGTTATTATTGCCAACAAGATCTATCACCTGACAAACTTGGTCATGATCCTAGTCACATGCTTCCCATTCCCATGGAGCTCCGGAAAACTACATGTGCACTTTTTTATTTGAAAAAATTTATTTATCTATTTGCTATTTATTAAAAAAAAAAACAACTTGGTTGGATTGAGAGATGAATCAGAAATCTGTGAAGCACATCTGGGTGTCCCTGTGAGGGTCTGTCTCAACAAACTGAGAAGGAAAGCCCTCCACTCCATGTGGGTAAATATACCCCTGCCACTAATGGTGCTGTCTCAGGGAACTCTCATGGGCCAGTGAACTTTACTTTTCCAGTAAAAGGCACTTTTTTTGCCTCTGTTTTTCAACCCTTTGAAAATACAAAGCCCATTCTTAGCTCAAAGGTCTGTAAGTCTAGGCATGGGTTCTGGTTCTGTAGCTTCAGATCTTTGTCAGGCATCAGATCTTTGTCAGGCATGCAGCACACCTGGGAAGGGCACCAATAGTCAAGTCACCCGTTGGGATTCTGTCACTTATTTGGGGCATATCAAATTTTTCTTAATTAAAAAGAAAATCAAATGTCTTCTAAAATACAAGAACCTTTTACTTTGTCTTTTAAAATTATCATTATACTTATAGCAACTTAGAATAAGAAAACCATACTCCCTGTCAAATTCAAATAATAGCAGTGTGTAAAATAATTTCTCCCTGTATGGCACCAGTCACAAGGTCAAGCTTTGTATTCCGTCCATGTCTCTTCAAACATCTTCCTTGCCTTAAAAAATTAATATATACACATGGGCATCCTTTTTACAAAAGTGGGATCATATACAAATTATTCTGTATCTTGTATTTTTAAGTGTAAGAATGTATGCTAGGTGTCTCCTTAAACAATACATATAGATTAATCTCATTTAAAAAATGTTGGCAGAGGAAACGCTAAATATGCTGAAAAAGCCCTCTGCTGATGGACATGTAATTTTCTAAAGAAAAAAAAAACACAAAAGAATAAAAGGAATCATTCATGTGTTATTTCTGATTGGCTTGGGGACAGTTGTCTATTTTTTTGGAAAATAAGAAAGTAATTTCAAATAAATATTAATCCCCAATGACTAGAATTTAATTGATTTGAGGTATGGTCTGAGTTTCTAAATTTTTTTAGGTCTCCTGAGGGAGAGTATGCAGAATTTGGACATTAAAAATTGGGAATAAACTGTAGTTTAGAAAACACTGTCTAGATTTAGGGAGGCTACAAGGAGATGGAGGCTCTACTTCCACTGGGTAGGGCTGTAATTTGTCACATGCTTCCAAGAAGCAATATGACAGACTTTGTTAAAATGTATTAAAAGTCAGAAGGAACACACCTTCTGCCACCTTGAATAATGCATCTTAGAGAAATAAAAATAGCACACAAAGATATATATGAAAGGATGTTTATTGGGGCATTGCTTAACAGTAAACAGAGCAAAACAAGTGCAGAAAAAAGACACAGATTGCTTCAACTAGCATTAGGTGCCCGGGTCTAGCCATACAGTGACAAATACACAGAGACAGAGGAATAAGCAGTGGTGGGGGAGGGGAGGACTTGGGAAAGTAGGTCAAAAGATGCAAAATAGCAGACATGTAAGGGGAGCAATAGCTAAAGTTCAAATCAAAACTAAAGTCAAGAAGATTGTATTGCACTAGGGATTTTTGTTTTAAAAAGTGGATTTTAGCTGCTCCTGTCACACAAAAAGTAACTGCGTGGGATGACAGCTGTGGAATCTGCTTCACTGTAGTATAACCATTTTATGCTCTCCATGTGTCCTATAACATCGTGCTATAAATCTCAAACATGCACACAAAAATAGATACTGAGATATCGAACACAATGAAGAGGAATGCATGTATACTAATGTAACTACATAATATTGATAAGCCATGGGATAGAGAAAATAGTCCCAGTTTTTAAAAGCATATGTGTATGTTGTTTGAATGAGAAAGTCAAAAGGCACAGAAAGGTAACAAAATTGGAAGATGATCAAGACAGATAGGAAACCCTTCACTTTTCTTTAGAAAATGAGACTTTTATAACTAAAATATATCACTTTTTTCTAATAATTAGTTTTTAAAATGGACACATACCTAATACAGACACAGAGAAATGGTGTTTGTACTAATATGCATTAAAACTTACACTGATTAATATATGAATGCTAGCATATTAATAATTATCATACATCTACTGCATATTTATGGTATTTGTAACACAACTTGTAGTCAAAATGTTGGGTCTGAATACCTAAGGCAGATGAGTGAGTATCCCATTCCTTCCCCAGAGAGCAATAGCATTCCTGCATCTGAGGAAATGAAGGCCTGCATTCCTGCATCCTAAAGAAGAGATACAGAGATATAGATCTGCCACAAGGCTGGTGGGCAAAATGCTCTCAAGATTGTTTCCTTTCCCCAATAAATGTGCTAACCAAACCAGTTCACTTAAGAAAGCCCTTGAAATGCAAGGCCAATGAGAAAACCCTCCAACAGAGTTAAAACATCCATAAATACCCCAGCCTTTACCTGAGCAGGGAGTTACTGGCTTCTGGGCTCCGCTGCAGTACCTTAGCTGTAGCCTTTTCTTTCTCTCTAATAAATCTTACTTTGTATACTGGCTTTGGCTCATCATTCAGCTGCTACACTAGCCAGTTCTCTGGCCTGTGAAGGCAAGGACCCTTGACCCCGACCTGCAACACTTCGTCACTGGCACGTAACAAGAGGAAGAAGTTAGAGGGCCCTTGGATGAGGTAGGACGTGGCTTAGAAGCCCAGCCTGGAGCCTAAGTAGGATCAGGCTCAGGAAACCACTGGGTACTCTCATTCCTGAAGTCTGAACATTTATACTTGGGAAGGTGTGACAGGTGGTATGAGGTGGGCTTGGGTGGGTTCCTGCCCAAAAATGTGGTTTAGGACTGGGAGTGGCTGCCTGGGACTGCTGCCTATGCTGGAGGATGCTTAGTGACTTCACCTTGTGAACCCAACAACTGAATCAAGACTGTGCCTGATCCAGAGTGCCTCTGTGACAAAATCTTCAGCAGGGTGATTTCAGGCCCACCTGTGGCATAAGACACTCTCACTTGCAGCACAGTTTATAAGGACTTTGACATAATCATGGTTTCAAATTTAGTTATGTTCTCACACCTGTAGTAAGCAACAGGTCAAACAATTTGCAAGGCTGATTCATTTTCCACAACCCCATGTTTTAGGAATTAGACCCAGTACCACCCAGCTTCCTCAGCTTCAGGTGAAATGTTCCTTGTGGGTCAGCCTGTGTTGCAGTGAACTTCTCTGTTTTATCAACCATTCTCTTCTTTTCAGCTACCTTTGCCTGTGGCTTCAGGAGGTCGCTCAGCAGAGATTCCAGTGTGGAGAGAAGAGTATGAGAAGCTAATGAGAACTTGACATAAGCACAGCTATGTCAAATAATCTGCAGGCTGAGTTGGCACAGCCCCAGCCACAGAAGGGGGTGAGGGCAAAACGCAGCAGAGCTGCTATTCCTACATTCAGAGAGTAGTGATCACAATTTCCTCCTGTTCCTGAAAACTACAATGTCATACTCCCTCTCCCCAGGACTGTTGCTCTAACTCCTTCTTTGCCACTGTATATAATAACCTTACTGGAGGTGGACGAGGCTGTTGTGTGTCTCCATCCGAGCACCCAGCCCATCTGACCCCAGCTTTCTGCATGTTTGTCTTCTGTTTTTTGTCCTTTCTTGATCTCCCATCACTCCCAGTTAGGTTTCTAGGACAAGGATTCCAGAACTGTGTTCTATTCACCATCTTCCTGTTCATCAGCACAAGGGGCCTCCCCCAATGTAGGATTTCCTATGAATTCCTGTAGACATTGTACAACTCTGAGGGAGTGGTCAGTGAGAAGGCAGAAGTGGAGGGTAACAGTTACTCCTTTCCAGTTTCATTCTCTCTAGATTGCTCTAAGTACATCAACCTGCTAGAGTTGTCACAATGACTAGTTAAATTTAACACTACAATGACCACCCAGTGAAAGACCACCTCTTATCTCCTGAATTGACTCCTTCATGCTGTGTTTGACAAGCAGAAAACTGCCTTCAGGCTTATAAACTACTTTGTCTGCCTCTGTGTCCACAGACCAACCAGCTTGATCTT